TTTAAACTTTGATTGGTATAAAAATAATATAAACACAAACGTAAATATCTATGAAAAAGTGCAAATTTGCCCGTTTTCCGAAGACCATAAAATGGGCAAAAAGCCTATGATTGCCACAATTCGTATACCCTCCGATTCGTCATGAAAATTCTAGTTAGCTAATAACAGAAAGTTGAGAGATACAACTTTGATTTGTATGAAAAATAATATAGAACAACAAACGTAAATATCTATGGAAAAATGCAAATTAGCCCATTTTCTGAACGCCATAAAATGGCCAAAAAGCCTATGATTGCCAAAAATCGTATACTTTCCGATTCGCCATGAAAATCCTAGTTAACTTATAACAAAAACATAAGAAAAAGAATTTTGAAAATTTTATCCAATTTTTGAGAATTTTAAAAGGGGTTACATCATTAAAATGTTCGAAAATTGGCAAAAAATTTCATTTTTTATCTTTTTAATTTGAAATGCAGATTTATTTCCCTCATCAAAACTATCACAGGACAGCTTTCCGATTTAAAATTAATGCATTTTTGGCTTAGTTATGGAATTTTTAAACTTTGATTGGTATAAAAAATAATATAAACACAAACGTAAATATCTATGAAAAGTGCAAATTTGCCCGTTTTCCGAAGACCATAAAATGGGCAAAAAGCCTATGATTGCCACAATTCGTATACCCTCCGATTCGTCATGAAAATTCTAGTTAGCTAATAACAGAAAGTTGAGAGATACAACTTTGATTTGTATGAAAAATAATATAGAACAACAAACGTAAATATCTATGGAAAAATGCAAATTAGCCCATTTTCTGAACGCCATAAAATGGCCAAAAAGCCTATGATTGCCAAAAATCGTATACTTTCCGATTCGCCATGAAAATCCTAGTTAACTTATAACAAAAACATAAGAAAAAGAATTTTGAAAATTTTAGCCAATTTTTGAGAATTTTAAAAGGGGTTACATCATTAAAATGTTCGAAAATTGGCAAAAAATTTCATTTTTTATCTTTTTAAATTTGAAATGCAGATTTATTTCCCTCATCAAAACTATCACAGGACAGCTTTCCGATTTGAAATTAATGCATTTTTGGCTTAGTTATGGAATTTTTAAACTTTGATTGGTATAAAAAATAATATAAAAACAAACGTAAAAATCTATGAATAAGTGCAAATTTGCCCGTTTTCCGAAGACCATAAAATGGGCAAAAAGCCTATGATTGCCACAATTCGTATACCCTCCGATTCATCATGAAAATTCTAGTTAGCTAATAACAGAAAGTTGAGAGATACAACTTTGATTTGTATGAAAAATAATATAGAACAACAAACGTAAATATCTATGGAAAAATGCAAATTTCTCCATTTTCTGAACGCCATAAAATGGCCAAAAAGCCTATGATTGCCAAAAATCGTATACTTTCCGATTCGCCATGAAAATCCTAGTTAACTTATAACAAAAACATAAGAAAAAGAATTTTGAAAATTTTATCCAATTTTTGAGAATTTTAAAAGGGGTTACATCATTAAAATGTTCGAAAATTGGCAAAAATTTCATTTTTTATCTTTTTAAATTTGAAATGCAGATTTATTTCCCTCATCAAAACTATCACAGGACAGCTTTCCGATTTGAAATTAATGCATTTTTGGCTTAGTTATGGAATTTTTAAACTTTGATTGGTATAAAAAATAATATAAAAACAAACGTAAAAATCTATGAAAAAGTGCAAATTTGCCCGTTTTCCGAAGACCATAAAATGGGCAAAAAGCCTATGATTGCCACAATTCGTATACCCTTCGATTCATCATGAAAATTCTAGTTAGCTTATAACAGAAAGTTGAGAGATACAACTTTGATTTGTATGAAAAATAATATAGAACATGAAACGTAAATATCTATGGAAAAATTCAAATTTCTCCATTTTCTGAACGCCATAAAATGGCCAAAAAGCCTATGATTGCCAAAAATCGTATACTTTCCGATTCGCCATGAAAATTCTAGTTAACTTATAACAAAAACATAAGAAAAAGAATTTTGAAAATTTTAGCCAATTTTTGAGAATTTTAAAAGGGGTTACATCATTAAAATGTTCGAAAATTGGCAAAAAATTTCATTTCTTATCTTTTTAAATTTGGAATGCAGATTTATTTCCCTCATCAAAACTATCACAGGACAGCTTTCCGATTTGAAATTAATGCATTTTTGGCTTAGTTATGGAATTTTAAAACTTTGATTGGTATACAAAATAATATAAAAACAAACGTAAATATCTATGAAAAAGTGCAAATTTGCCCGTTTTCCGAAGACCATAAAATGGGCAAAAAGCCTATGATTGCCACAATTCGTATACCCTCCAATTCGTCATGAAAATTCTAGTTAGCTAATAACAGAAAGTTGAGAGATACAACTTTGATTTGTATGAAAAATAATATAGAACAACAAACGTAAATATCAATGGAAAAATGCAAATTAGCCCATTTTCTGAACGCCATAAAATGGCCAAAAAGCCTATGATTGCCAAAAATCGTATACTTTCCGATTCGCCATGAAAATCCTAGTTAACTTATAACAAAAACATAAGAAAAAGAATTTTGAAAATTTTAGCCAATTTTTGAGAATTTTAAAAGGGGTTACATCATTAAAATGTTCGAAAATTGGCAAAAAATTTCATTTTTTATCTTTTTAAATTTGAAATGCAGATTTATTTCCCTCATCAAAACTATCACAGGACAGCTTTCCGATTTGAAATTAATGCATTTTTGGCTTAGTTATGGAATTTTTAAACTTTGATTGGTATAAAAAATAATATAAAAACAAACGTAAATATCTATGAAAAAGTTCAAATTTGCCCGTTTTCTGAAGACCATAAAATGGGCAAAAAGCCTATGATTGCCACAATTCGTATACCCTCCGATTCGTCATTAAAATTCTAGTTAGCTAATAACAGAAAGTTGAGAGATACAACTTTGATTTGTATGAAAAATAGTATAGAACAACAAACGTAAATATCTATGGAAAAATGCAAATTAGGCCATTTTCTGAACGCCATAAAATGGCCAAAAAGCCTATGATTGCCAAAAATCGTATACTTTCCGATTCGCCATGAAAATCCTAGTTAACTTATAACAAAAACATAAGAAAAAGAATTTTGAAAATTTTAGCCAATTTTTGAGAATTTTAAAAGGGGTTACATCATTAAAATGTTCGAAAATTGGCAAAAAATTTCATTTTTTATCTTTTTAAATTTGAAATGCAGATTTATTTCCCTCATCAAAACTATCACAGGACAGCTTTCCGATTTGAAATTAATGCATTTTTGGCTTAGTTATGGAATTTTTAAACTTTGATTGGTATAAAAAATAATATAAAAACAAACGTAAATATCTATGAAAAAGTTCAAATTTGCCCGTTTTCTGAAGACCATAAAATGGGCAAAAGCCTATGATTGCCACAATTCGTATACCCTCCGATTCGTCATTAAAATTCTAGTTAGCTAATAACAGAAAGTTGAGAGATACAACTTTGATTTGTATGAAAAATAATATAGAACATGAAACGTAAATATCTATGGAAAACGCAAATTAGCCCATTTTCTGAACGCCATAAAATGGCCTAAAAGTCTATGATTGCCAAAAATCGTATACTTTCCGATTTGCCATGAAAATCCTAGTTAACTTATAACAAAAACATAAGAAAAAGAATTTTGAAAATTTTAGCCAATTTTTGAGAATTTTAAAAGGGGTTACATCATTAAAATGTTCGAAAATTGGCAAAAAATTTCATTTTTTATCGTTTTAAATTTGGAATGCAGATTTATTTCCCTCATCAAAACTATCACAGGACAGCTTGTCGATTTGAAATTAATGCATTTTTGGCTTAGTTATGGAATTTTTAAACTTTGATTGGTATAAAAAATAATATAAACACAAACGTAAATATCTATGAAAAAGTTCAAATTTGCCCGTTTTCTGAAGACCATGAAATGGGCAAAAAGCGTATGATTGCTACAATTCGTATACCCTCCGATTCGTCATTAAAATTCTAGTTAGCTAATAACAGAAAGTTGAGAGATACAACTTTGATTTGTATGAAAAATAATATAGAACATGAAACGTAAATATCTATGGAAAATGCAAATTAGCCCATTTTCTGAACGCCATAAAATGGTCAAAAATGCCTATGATTGCCAAAAATCGTATACTTTCCGATTCGCCATGAAAATCCTAGTTAACTTATAACAAAACATAAGAAAAAGAATTTTGAAAATTTTAGCCAATTTTTGAGAATTTTAAAAGGGGTTACATCATTAAATTTTCGAAAACTGGCAAAAAATTTCATTTTTTATCTTTTTAAATTTGGAATGCAGATTTATTTCCCTCATCAAAACTATCACAGGACAGCTTTCCGATTTGAAATTAATGCATTTTTGGCTTAGTTATGGAATTTTTAAACTTTGATTGGTATAAAAAATAATATAAAAACAAACGTAAATATCTATGGAAAAGTGCAAATTTGCCCGTTTTCTGAAGACCATAAAATGGGCAAAAAGCCTATGATTGCCACAATTCGTATACTCTCCGATTCGTCATTAAAATTCTAGTTAGCTAAGAACAGAAAGTTGAGAGATACAACTTTTATATGTATGAAAAATAATATAGAACAACAAACGTAAATATATATAGAAAAATGCAAATTAGCCCATTTTCTGAACGCCATAAAATGGGCAAAAAGCCTATGATTGTCAAAAATCTTATACTTTCCGATTTGCAATGAAAATCCTAGTTAATTTATAACAAAAACATAAGAAAAAGAATTTTGAACATTTTATCCAATTTTTGAGCATTTTAAAAGGGGTTATTTGACTTATCTATCGATTTGTAAACTTTACTTTGCCGGAAAATATATTACATATATAAAACATTATTTCAGATCTTCTTGAACTCGATGCCTCTCCATCTCAATAGCGGAATACTTTTATTTGAAAACAATCTTCAGTTGAATAACAGAAATAATTTCACATAAATTTAGTCAAACTAAAAATAAATCTCTTTATTCTAGGCAGTCTTTTCTGGTTATTTTTTTAAAAACAAGCTTAGATCCCCAGAAATGGGATCTTCATTATAATTGAAGTAATCTCCGAAGTTCGTCCACGTAAAGTTCCAGAATCTTGGATCAGCTCGGGGATCCCCAGGCTTATTCGAAGGAGGCACCACTGTGGAGTTAAAGCGATCCAATTCGGCCATCAGATCACTGAGGACTTTGGGGTATCTGTAACCAAAAGTTATTTACTTATTACCAAAAACCCTAGAGCTAATCAACGTACTGTTCCGCCAGGTTAAATTGCTCGCAGGGATCGTCCCGTATGTGGAACAAACAGGGAGCTGAGAATGCGGTGGCCTTGCAGCTGCTTCCTTGGGAGGATTGACCCTGGCAAGTCACGGTGGCCGCTTCTCGTAGCCTCTGCTGATCGGCTTGACTTGGTAGCATCTTCAGGGCCACTAAAGCCTTGCCTGATGGGCTTTTGGGCACCAGGTGCCAGTCGTAGGCATGAGGACTCCGTTCGCCAGACGGTCCATACCATCCATCCCATCCGCCTTTGTAATTGGTTCCCTTGACCACTTTCCAGTCGCCCACGGTCACAGCAGCACTGCCCCAGATGTCGTCTATGTTGTGGAGCACAGTTCGACGCGGAGATGCCTCATCATGGGTTAGTGCCTGCCAAATGCTTTGGCCATCTAGTTCCTGGCTGAGATTGGCCAGAGCGGAAGGCCCACCAGCTGCCTCCAGAAGCGTGGGCAGCCAGTCGGTGATGTGCATCGTCTGATCGGCGACTCGTTCGCGCTTCTTGAGGAGGGGCGACCAAATCAGACCAGCTGCACGGACTCCTCCCTCCCAGAGGGTGTTCTTTACACCCTTCAGTGGATAATTGGAGGCGAAGTTCAGGTTGAAGCCTTGGGCAGGACCTCCGTTGTCCGAGGAGAAAATAATGATGGAGTTTTCCAGCATATTTGACTTGCGTAACTGATCCACAATCATACCCACAGATTCGTCCATTTTCGACACCATAGCTAAAGATCAAGAATAGGAATCAGGAAGAAGGATCTCTTTTGGAAACTAGAAACCTTACCTGCGTATTTTCGGCGTTTATAGTGCGGAATATGACCCATCTTCATGACATCGTCATCAGGAACTGGTAACGGATTGTAGGGATTACTCGAATGGCAGGCGGCATGGGCCACGTACAGAAATAGAGGTCCTTCGGTCGCATTGTGGCTGGCAATCACTTTGACCGACTGTTCGGTTATCACGTCCGTAGTGTACTTTCCATGCAAATCGAAGGCCACATCCACTCCATTCCGCATGTCCAGGCCCCAGAGGTTGTGCTCGAAAGCCGTGTGATCGTTGTAGTCGTGGTGGCCTGACCAGAAGCCCACATGGCTGCGGAAACCCCTGTAAAGGGGTGTGTACTCCAGTTTCCAGTGTCCCAGATGCCATTTGCCGGCTATATGAGAGGCGTACCTGTTGGGGATTTGAGTAGTACTTTAAATACAGGAAAGAGATTCTATCAACCCACCCTAGATCATTCAAATACTGCGGCAGTATCTTCTCCTTTAGAGGTAACCCTCGCGGTTCAGCGGCATAGAGTACCGTGTGTTGCATTCCTTAAAAGGGAAGAGACTTCATCAGGAGATCATAAGGCAGGAAACCTTACTCACCAGTGTGTATGGGATATTTCCCCGTCATCAAAGCCGATCTCGAGGGCGTGCAAATGGGATTCACATAGTATCGATTCAGAATAATACCCGAGTAGGCCAGGGCATCAATGTTGGGTGTGGGAATCTGCGCCGAGCCATGGAAACCCACATCGTTAAAGCCCTAGAAGAGAATATAACCTTACATAAATTCAGGACATTCAGGAGATTTTTATAGTGAACAAGACTTACCAGATCATCGGCCAAAATAAATATAATGTTGGGCTTTGTGGCAGCTGTCATTCGCGCAACCTCCTCACCATTAACTATATTGGTGAGAATTAAAAACAAAAAACCCGAGAGCAGCATTCTTCTCCAGTGAACACTAAAAGATCGAGTGATATTTTCTGCCATTAAAAACAATTTGTTAACTAATTGATGCAGTGCAGAGACGAGACGAACTCAATTGATTGATCATCTCTACCTTATGGGGGCGAGGTTTGGCATTGAATCTGAATCAGCAATTGCAATTGACCTCAATTCGAATGGGCTTGCAGTACTGAAGTAGTAGCACCTGAATCTGGCACTTGGCTAGAATGGGGTTCTATGTCTGTTTAAGGTGACATTTCATGAACACTGGGATTCCCTCAGGAATTTGCGTCAAATAATGTTTCAAGTGACATTTACTAATTAGCATGTAAATTGCGTTTGTCGCTGTTCGTACCGTTAATGGGTCGACTCACATAGTAATCGGAAAGCTCAAATTAAAAAACCAAATTAGATTTGGTTGAATATTTAAAGTCGAGTCGCACAGCTAATGCCCTACATCAATAAAGTTAGGATTTCAATTAAAAAGATTAAATTATAAATAGATAACAGCTTATCGAAGTAAATACTATTGTCAGGTTTAATTAAAAGTAATTTGTAATATTTTAAGAACCATTCAAGCTCTCAAACTGTTTTGTAAATCCAGATTTATACTTTTTTTAGTTTCTAGCAAATGTTTTGTAATATTTTCAACATCATCCCAGAAATCTCACACTTTTTGTGTGATTAACATCATTCTTTTGTTGTTCCAACAACGAACAAAAGAATTCTATTTATGCAAAATCACTCATAAGCAAATAATGATGAATGAAGTTCCTGCCCTTACCGCTTGAACTTTCCTTTTGTTTATTTTACTCAATTAGAGGGCTAAACAATCCGATCAACAGCAGACAAATGTAAACAAAATTAAAAAATTAAAAACTTGATTTCTTGTCACGCGCGGTAAGTGTCCCTAATTGTATTTCGCAAATTTATTGTTATTTTAATTAAAACTCAGAGGCGCTATATTTTTAGGAATGATTTATGTTCGCTTGCTGATAATATTTAGGGAATTTTGTTTACTCCACCACCGACGCGTCGACCGTGCCAAGCGAGACTGAGAAAATTCCCAAACAACTGCCAGAGCCGCCGAGCCGCAGACCTTAACAGTGAAAGCCACGAGCGCTGCTAAATAAACAGCGTACGAGAGCTAAAAAGGTAGAGAGACAGAGAAGACTTACCTGCAGTTGCATAAAGAGCTAAAACTTTCCACCACTCTTGCTTTCGTTGACCCCTTGACCCAACAAAAGTGCAGCAAATCGTACAATAATTATTATTATTTAAAGTAAACTTCGTACTCAGCTGGCTCACAGGAAGGAAACTCTGGGGAATAACATTCTAGGATACAACAAACTACGAATTGATAAACAGAAGCGTCCTTTAAAAGGTCACCGACACGCCTGTCAAGCCCGCGGCAATACACTTTTAATGCTTAGCTTATAGTTATATTCTAAAAGTACGAATTTGGGAAATAAATATAAGCTAGACAGGCAATAATTTCTAATAGAAAGCAACCAAATCACCCAATGCTTTATGTTCTCAACAGTGCCTCCAGGCAATCGGAGGGCTCTTAGAGTATTTCTAGATCCACGTGACGTATTTCCGGGAATTGGGTCTAGGCAGAAAAATAATTGTAATCAGAGAGCATCAATGGATTGTCTAGAATAACTCACCCGCAGATTCATTTCAATGCGATCAATTTCACCTCCCATCAGGTCCACAATGTTTTCGCCATGGTCAAGCAAAAAGGTCTCCAGATCCTCCACCTTTTGGAAACCCCGAACCGTCTGCGAGACAGAAAAGAAAACCGGTTAAAGGCAGGCCCTCAGAAATGGGTCACAACGCACCGTCAGCAACTTAGCCAGATCCTGTTTGTCCAGATACGAACGCGTCAGCTCCCGACCGTCAAAGTCGAGCTCAGCCTGTGGGAATACACTTTAGTCTGAAAAAGCCAGCGAAAATCTCAGGTCTCACCTTGTAGCGGACTCGAGCGTTGCCAATATCGATACCCTTGACATCGTAAATCGCTCTGATCATCACATCCGCCTCTAAAGCGGAGTTGATCTTCTCCAGGCGCTCAGAAGCAATGGAGATGCCCACCAGGGCATTAGCATTCGTGTAAATAATAAAGGAGGCCACAGCACCCAGAAGAGCGCCAATAACAAGCGATCCGGCGGCATCAAAGAGGGGAGATCCCGTATAGCTGCTCAATCCCATACAAGCACCGGCGACAATGACACCAGCAACAGCGGCGGCGTCTTCACAGAGCACCACATTCACGCAGGGATCCTTGCCAGAAATTACTGTGTGGTAACCAAATCAATAATCAAACTTAATTCCTTGAACAAACTGCCCAAAACCTACCATAGTCCTTAAAGGTCATATTGTTCACCTTGGCCGCCCGTTTAAGCTCATTGATGGCCACCATCAGAGTGGCACCTTCCGAAACCAGCGACCCCATCAGGATGCAGTACACCCAGAAAAGATCTGTGATGGGTTCCGGGTGGAGAATGCCCTCGATTCCGTGGTAAATGGACAGACCACAGCCAACACAAAAGATGCCAACACCGGATATCAGCGAGGAAACATATCGCATGTTCATGTATCCATATGGATGATCGGTGTCCGGGCTCTGGGAAGACTTGTATATGCCAAAGGCAAGAATAAGCTGATTGATCAGATCCGCCAGTGAGTGGATAACCTCAGCAAACATGCTGTGCGAACCGCTGTACAGCCATCCTCCGGCCTTGAAGAGCAAATTAGCCGCATTTCTGAAAGGAGGGCATTTCACTACAAGACTTTTTCCAAATGCTGCCGAACTTACATGGCAATGGCAGTGGCCACCACCTGACCAGACTTCTCTGACTCTTTTCTGTCATCGATCATCACTTTAGTACGGGATCCCATCTCCCGGCGGTAGTCGCGCAACCGCCTCTTTACCGTAAACAAATCTGGAAAGGCAAGGGTTTTAACATCCACATGGAAACAATGGGTATGCACTCACTCTGCTGGTACTGCTTACGCTCCACCTCCCGCTTAAGTCGCTCCCGCAACAGATTGTCCTTGGAACCCCACACCTCCACTGCCTTGGCCTCCACATCGCGTCGCCAGTACACGGTCATGGGTGGTTCCTGCTCGTACGGCGATCTCCGCTTGATCTTGGGCAGGCTGTCAAGATCTCCGGTAGTCAGCAGAAAGTCGCTAATAGCCCGGGCAGGTGTCACAAAGTTTCTCTCCAGGGAGGAACGATAATCGAATCGTGCTCTCTTTGGCGGTAGCGCGGGTATAGGGACTGCACCTTCTAATGTTGGCATTTGAAGAGCACCAGTCGATAACTTGTCGGGAGAAAGAGCTTCTGCTGGTGAAACAGGATCAGGCGCTTCGGCAGGCGCGCCAAAGACACTTGTTGGGCTTACTGCTGCGGTCGCCACCGTGGTGGAATTTGCCATCAGGTTAATGGCTGATGTGGCCAACGCAGGCTCCTTCAGCTTGGCCACTGACGGCATATCGGTTTTTTCAAACACAATCTCATTAATCTTGGAGTCCTCAATGGTGGTGCTGACGGACAGGATGCCCTTCGTTGTCTTCACTTCTAATTTTTTTTCAGTTTTAAACCGGTTGTTGCCTCTTTTGGTTTCACTTCCACTTGATCGGCGGGGCGGGCCACCTCCACAGGTGTCTTCTTCTTTTTGGAATCGCTTCCGCCAGAGCTGCATCGGATCTGGAGGAAGACACCAGGTTGCTTCCAGGGCAGCAGTCTAAAGAGGTCTCCCTCATTCTGGCTCCTGGTATTTCGGAGACCAGAGACCACGGCGGACTGCCTGAAGGCCCGTCCAATCTGCTGGTGTCTTCGATGCAGGAGCTGCACGCCGCGCATCAGCATCCTGCTCCCAACAGCAATGCTCTTAAACATAACATGGAAATGGGGTAAAAGCTCTTCATTTACATTGTGCGCTACTTACCCGGCACTATCAGTCAGAGATTCCAATCAGTTGTTTTCTATTGTTGCTGTTTTCACTTTTGGCAAAACTTTGTCATACGGGCAACTGCAAAGGGCTTAAGACGAATTGCTGTCGAACAGGCGCTTGATTTGAAGATTCCCAGCTTCTCCTGGAGGCACACACTCCTTGGATTGGTATCAATGATCAACAAAATTGGTCGTACATGGCGAATTTGGATTTTGCTTTAAATTGACTCTTTTAAACAAAATTGTGTTAAACCTAATTCTAGCGGTGTTGCCAACTTAGCTTCTTTCAGGCTATATCTAAAATATTTAAACTTCGAATTGCAAATAGATGATTGTTGATCTCGCATAGTAAATCTATCAATAAATGTGTTCGTTATATTAACAATTTATTTTATAGGAATAATAATATTAGAGCATAGAATTTTTAAGCTTTTAATATATTTCATTGTCGGTGGTTACATGCAATAGCCAGATTAGACAAGGAAATAGCTAGGTTGGGAACCCTGTTTTTGATCTGGCAGCTCTGGCTTATGGCGCAAGCTTCCTCTTGATATCTGGCATCCTCGTTTTTGGCGTAGCACTGGCGGCAACAGCTGTTTTCTGCCGGTTGTTTTATAACAATTTCCTTTAAACTTCGTTGCTTTGTTTTTCTAGTTTTTGGTAATTAAAATGTCTCTTTTAATGCAAAGAGTGGCGATATTAACCCGGCAGATAGCCCGTCCATTGGCCGCCACCCGACATTTTGCGTCGGAGGCACCTGTTGGAAATGGAGATGAAGTTCTGGTGGAACGATTGGAGGGAGCTCGCAAAGGAATCTCGGTCATTGGCCTCAACAGGCCAGCAGCGAAGAATTCCTTCAGTCGGGGCATGGTAGAAACCTTCACCGAGGTTCTGGACGAGATCAAGAAGGACAACGGCTCGAGAGTCGTCGTGCTGAGAAGTCTTACACCAGGAATATTTTGTGCCGGAGCTGATTTGAAGGAGCGCAAAGGTGAGGCTTTAGTTTGAAAGGTACTTAGTTAATAATAATAACTAATCTTTTGTTAATAAAAGGCATGACTCCCGAGGAGGCCACCGAATTCGTAAAGGAGCTCCGCAGCCTGCTGATCAGCATTGAACAACTGCCCATGCCCGTTATTGCCGCCCTGGACGGCGCTGCTCTGGGCGGTGGCTTGGAAATGGCTCTGGCCTGCGACATCCGGACCGCCGCTTCTAACACGAAAATGGGTCTCGTCGAGACCCGACTGGCCATCATCCCAGGCGCTGGTGGCACCCAGCGGCTACCTCGGATTCTGTCGCCCGCCCTGGCCAAGGAATTGATCTTTACAGCTCGCGTTTTCGATGGAACGGAGGCCAAGGACCTGGGTCTGGTCAACCATGTTGTACAGCAAAACGAGACAAAAGATGCGGCCTACCAGCAGGCCCTCAAGTTGGCCGAGGAGATTCTGCCCAATGGACCGGTAGGTGTTCGGATGGCTAAGTTGGCCATTGACAAGGGTATGCAGGTGGATCTGGCTACGGGCTACTCCATCGAAGAGATCTGCTACTCCCAAGTGATACCCACCAAGGACCGGCTAGAGGGACTGGCCGCCTTTGCGGAGAAGCGCAAACCCGTCTACCAGGGCGAGTAAATGGAGTGATAGGGAGAACGCTTTTAACTTTAAGCTGAAAAGTGCATTTATTATTTTATCCACTACTCTTTGTAGAACCCAAAAAGCCCAAGGCAAGCTCTGTTCTATTGTTTTCCCGATAAATAAAGCACTCGATTGTATCGAACTGCCAAATAACTTGAATTACGCTAATTGTAGCTGAACAATTTTTAATCGTCGCCATGACGCATCTCCATTTAGTCAGGGAAATGCTAATTACAGCCATTAAGTACCACCACCGATCGCAAAACACTCCCCATTTGCATTGCATGTACCTACTATACTAATCGGCGTACAGCATAGAACTGGAAATAGATGCAAAGCCGACCTTGATCGAACGATGCGGAAATCAGGGATTTCTTTGGAAACAGCCCGCCACCAGTTAGAAAGTTCCTATTGTCATGCGAGCTAAGTGTAAGTGGGATGACTGTGCCTTCGCTTGTCATTTGCACAGCAGGTAATTTGCATTTTTGCAAGTAAGTATGTGTATTACAGGGCGTGCTCCCCATCCACACTCCAGGTATTTTTGGGGCCCGCTCGAACAAAGGGGTTTTGTCACAGCAGAAAAACCAAACCAGGCGCTAAATAAAAATCACTTTATGAAGCCGACGCCGTGGAAGATTCAACCGGTTTAATGTCAAGGAAGTTGTCTCTCCTCTGGGCGGCCACCCCCACTAGCCCAGATTTTTGATGCTTGGCGGCGGGTCTAAGTTGCGTCACCGCCAACACCTCCATTCATGCCGAGTTGGGAGCAGTAAATTAAAATTCTAAGCGGGTGTTTGACATCGGGCAAGGTCAGTGTCATTTGGCAGAAGCATTATAACCGAAACATTCGATAAACAGAGTCTAAGTCCGAATCTCAAGCGACAATCTTTAGAGCGATGCGCATGTGGCGCAGTGTGAATATTAATTAATCAATTAATTAATTGCTCGCTCAGTGCTCAATGAACCGATGTGACCCCAAAGCACACGGCGAGAAGGCATATCCGGAAACCAATTTGCGGAAGCAAATCAATTATTTATTGTTTTGACTCGTTATTATTAACGCTTCTCGATCAGCAGGCCTTTCAAGTTTCCATCAGCAGAGTGTTGGCCAGTAATACGGGCAAATGTTGTATCCCCAGATATGACATGCATTATAATGAGACTGCGGCTGACTGACTGACTGGGAAGAGTCACTGACAGAGAAGTGGCCTTAATGTGTCTCTTTATGGGACGGGGGATTTTTTGTATTAACCTTTTCCAGGTATTCGAGGCGCCGCTTGAAACTTAATTAGATGGATGAGAAGGATTCTCAAGGTTAGGCAATGTACGAATTTACAATCGGAACTTTCCTCTGGACGGGAAAGACCCCCAAAAGCACCCGATAATATCTAGAGCACTTAAGAGCCACCCATCCAGATGGCTTTCACAATCGATAATTCTTTAGTTAAGGCGCTGGTATAACTTTATCAGGCTCAACAGCACAGATTGTCAATACGGACGGCAGCAGTAAACACGGTACAGTAGATATTTTCCAAATTCTATGCTAGATAAGGAATCACTGTGTCAATATTGCAGCGGCTATAGACTGAGCTCTTGACCCGCTTGAAAGGGTGTCTTTCTGCCCTATTACCAGACAGAAGAAACCTCTGGTTTATCAGTCTTAGCCCAAGGCTGGCTCCACATGGCGTATACGCAATGTGTGTGTGCATTGTCTTGCGTCAATAGGAGGAGAACCTTGTTAAACAGAAGAGGAACATTACTTGTGTGCGTACAGCATGTTCTTCATGTACTTGGCAATTAAAGATACTCAATCCAATCAACTGCCGCAATATTATTGTTATCCCAGAACCCACCTACTTGTTGTACGAACTGATATTACGCCACACACTGCTGCTGCTGCTGGAGTCCCTTAAATTACAAACGCATTTACTGGCCCCATAAATCAATGACAAACTCAACTCGGCGGATTGAACTCGACTAATCTGAAATGCACATCACGTGGAAAAGTGCATTTCATTTACAGCAATTGCCGTGCTGCTAAAAATTTTCCACTGCCCCACTGACTAACCACCAACTATGACTATGTACGACCAGCGTCTAGCCGAGCTCTAAGGCAAACACAAAAACCGAACTAACATTTCATATTTTATGGTTAGACAACAAAAACCAGCCAACAGGCCAGCAACAACAAAGAGCTGGCTCGAAACAAGTCAATCACTAGAGAGGCCCCAAGTGATCTGCCTCAAAAGAGAAGCCCCCAAGGCAGCACTTAGTAATTGTCGCAAAGGGGGCGGTGGGAAGTCCAAGGAGGGGTCCGAGTGTCGCGCGAATTCTCGAGCTGCAAATGCTCCAGCTCCAGTTTGCTCCAGTTTCGGTATCTGTAGATATTGCAGTTACACGGTTAGAAAATTTGATTGTTTAACGAGATGTTCGTGTTTTAAATAGTAATTTCCTTTAATTATATACTATCTTAATATTTGGTTGCACTATCCAATTATAATGTCTGAAAGAAAATTATGGGATCATTTCAAAGAGTTTGAATACTAAGGGTATGATAATTTTAGTCAGAATCTAGTTCCTTTTCTTCTTAAAAGTGTAAAACCATACATAAATTTAACAACTATTTTTCTTTGAACTGTTTTAATGTTTTACTACAAAGAATATTAACTTATTAATCCTAATTTAAATTATTAAAACAGACTTTGCAAAATCAACTAAACTAAGAGCTATGTTTAAGATTAAGCCTCATCTCAATGAAATCAAAAATGTTTACCGTGCAAAATGGCAACTTCTGCGAACTGTAATAGATGATTGATGGTTGATTGATAGCAATGAATAGTACCATTATTGGTGACATGGTGCCTGTGTGCAGCATACAGGGTGTGGTGTGAATTTCACTTGATAATGCACTTCAAGTTGAGGAAGAGTGATAAGAGCCCCTAAAAGTATACCAAGGGCTAACTAAATAAGAAATTTTCTCCCCATGAAAAGTAATTAGATAAAGATATAGTATTTAATAAGACTTTACAAGGTGGTAAGAGCATTTCCCAGCTATAAGATAATAGAATTCCCTATCAGCACAGCACCCGGGCACCCGGTTATCCTCATCCTTCTCCCACTCCCATGCCCACACTGCGTATGAGTAATGAGACGAAGGCAGACTTGTCTGGCCGCCGAATGCCCAAAGCTGAGTGTGATCTGTAGAAAGCACCTACTACCGATGGCATCTATATGTTTATGTTCACCTGGCCAACGAGAGAGGGAGCGAGAGAGAGAGAGAGGCCGACTTCGCCCCACCTGCGTCACGGTAACGTTTATTGTCCATTGCGCTAATTGCCCGAACCGACTTCGTCTCCGAGTCCCGCCTCCAGGTTCGGAGCGGGGAGTGCGAATACATTATATCTGTGTGCATGGCCGGGTTTATAGCCGCTCCGGCGACGCCGTCGCAGCAACAAATTCAAGCACAAACATTGGCTTAATATCAGTCACTAAGCGATCGTCCGGCAGTTAACAACAAATCGCCAGCGGCGACACAACCGAATTAACAAACCCTTAAAGCCGCGCGCGCGAAAATCCAAAAATCCTTGCAACATCGCAACGTCACTATATCGCAGGTGTGAACTAATTAATATATTAAATAAATAATCAAACAGAAAATGGCCAAAGAGGCTTAAATAGTGTTCAAAGCGTATTTGTCTCCACTGATTGCTTCTGCAAATTCTGGCCTTTATAATCGCCCCATCGAGCATATCGCTGGACCATTAACGCGTTTGTGTGAAAAATCAGTCAATGTCGAGGACAAGCGATTGCGACTAAATTAAATCAAGCAATTACTATAATTTCTCTATAATTTCCACATACACATCAATTCGGTCAAAAGGTAATTATTGAGACCTGAGCAATTATTTGTTTGTTTATACTGCTCTTTTTATGTTTTGTGTTTATCATTTGCCTATTTTATAAGTTCCCTAATTATTTATAATTAATTCCCGCACATCAAGTGAGTTATCAGGCAATTATCAGATGCATGTGACACTCTGAAAATTAGCCCAAGTATTTCATTTCATTTTTTTAATAAAAAATAAGCCTTATCAGCTGGGAAATCTTCGGAACCCCGTCTCCAATTAGCCAGTCATCATCCGCGGAAGAAGCAGCAGCAACAGATTGGGGAAGAAATCATTGCTCCCACAATTTTGTTGCCACGATAAGCCCCGAATAGGATGCCATAAAAGATTATTGACTCAGTTTTATCTTGACAGCTACCTGGCGGTCGCTTAACAACTACAACTTTCATGTGCAATAAACCTGGCGTTTAGTTCACATTCTCGAAGAATAAAATGAATGCCCCGCCTGTTGTCGGCTGTCATTCAAAGTTGGCAAGGTAGGGGGCATTATCACATCATTGCTGATATGGTTATTACCCGAAAATAAATGAGATAACTGCAAGCTCAATACTTCGACTTTGAAGCTGTCAAGCTGTCTGATCAATTATGCCGCACGGCAGGCTCATCCGTTTTGCATATCGAAAGTGTGTGTGTCCGCCGATAAGGTCGCGAAAAGCGAAAAGGCTGACTCTCGCACCGATCGCCTGACACTAAACGAGCTCCCTTCCCAGCCCACAGTTCCCCCATGCACGGAGGAAAAATATATTGATTTCTTGTCAATTTTTATAAACTAATTTCATGTGTGAACTAATAAATTAAAGTTAATATTAAGATACAAAGTAAGAAGAGCTTGTTTAAGCTGAAACTCCAATGATTTACACCATTCTGAAAGAGCATTCCTTGGGCCTTTTTAGCAAATCTTCACGAATATCCTTTCTCAGCACCTTGTGATTACTAGAAGAATTGGTTTCTTAATTATTGTAGCTTTTGAATGCTAAAGATATATATTTGTGTACCACATCCCATTAGACTAAAATTATAATAAAACAAGAAAGAAATCAACCTTTTATATAATTTTTTGGGTAAATCAAAGAATTTTCAAATAACATAAATAAGCCAAAAGTTCATTCAATCCAATTCGGACATTAACATTAAAATACCCTATATATCTTCACAGTAACATAGTAATTTTCCCATGAATTCTAAAACCAAATGATGATTAATAAATAACAATGACTGAAATAATTATTTTAGGAAAATATTTATATATTTAAAGGTTCAATA